GAACCGTTTGGAACTGGTATTTAGTGACGGCCTTGTTCCCTGCTGACGGCAGTGTGTTTAGCCAATTCACCGGGCAAGAGGACGGCGGTTCGATTTCCGGCTGGTGATGGTCGACCGTTGTTGTAGTGGGCCGACGATTGGACAAGCTCGCAACAGGATCGTTGACGAAACTGTTCATGATGCCTGCGGCTCGAGAGACGCCGCCGGTGTCGGGGTGCAATTTGTTTCAAAGGTTCCAGATGTAGATGGCGTACGATTCTTTCCCTTGCTTGCGCTCTTGTCGGACTTGGCATAGCAATACGTAACCGGAACGAAGCAGCAACAAATCCCGCGATCCGCTTGTCAATAAAACGGCCCTTTTCAGGGCCACCACTTTATATTAATTTATTTCTAACTTTTTTTAACTCTGCGTTGATAAAATTGTTAAATAATAATTCATAGTAGTCGCATATACCTATACAGCGTTGATTACGTCAATTACTGATGGAGTCATGTTAATCTCTTATATTTTATCAATAACTGCCATTAATAAAGGTAAACTTATAAACAACTGACTTTGTAAAGACTAGCGACTACGAAATAAACGTTGCATCGTCGAAAATACTCTCAATATCGATAATATTATAACGAATATCAACGTCTCTAGCGCTGATTTAATAATTCAGAACCATTAAACGACCAATGTAGTCACTTCAGATTTTAAGATACTGGATGAAATGGCTTTTCACACATTTACATTCAAGAATTCAAAAACATTTTAGATCAGTATTCCAATTTTATAAAAATCTACACTGACGCATCCAAAACCGAAAGCAACGTGGGAATCGCTATCATATATAATGACGTAGAAGAAATAACATATAAACTTTCAGTAGAATGCTCCATATACACCGCTGAAGCAATTGCTATTCTTAAAGCCCTCGAATATTCACTTGATAAACAAAACAATAACTTTGTCATCCTAAGCGACTCCCTAAGCTCTATAATAAGTATTGCCAACACTCTCAAACCTAATGACATATCAAAGAAGATTCAGCTCGCTATATCTGCCCACCAAGCCAAAGGAAATGTAGTAAAAATAATGTGGATTCCAGGACACTCATCAATAGAAGGAAACGAAAAAGCTGACACGCTCGCGAAAAAAACAGCAGTAAATACCCCCAACAGCATTATCGCAAACATTTCTGCCCACGATGCTATACGCACAATAAAACTCATATCAGCAAAATCCTGGCAAAACCTCTGGTCCACACAAAGAACGAAACTCAATGAAATAAAGCGATCAACCCTACATTGGCCAAACAATCACTCAAATCGCAAAATAGAAACCAGTATTAACAGACTCCGAATAGGTCACACCAAACTCACCCACGGGTACCTAATGTCTCGTGAGGAACCCCCTATATGCCCATCCTGTGGTGTAAATTTATCGATTAAACACATCATGACCGAGTGCAACATCTACCGCGATGCAAAGGAACTCAACCATCTTCCGGAAGACATATTTGAAAGCCTCGGACCTAACCTACCAGTCTCCAATATAATAGCCTTCCTTCAACAGTCTGGTTTGCTCAAACTCATCTAATAACCATACCTATACACTAAATAATTTTTTTTTTATTCTTTGTCTTTTTTTTTTTTTTTTGTTTTTTTTTGTTCTCTAACATATAACATGTAACAACATTATTATAATATATTATATCCCAATGGCCTTGCTGCCGAGGGTTTTTGTTTTTCTTAATAAAAAAAAAAAAAAAAATGTTCCATTTTCGCTTGCTTTAATAAACTCTTGATTTGTGATAATAAATATGTAACGAGAAATTAATATCGTGTTGGTTACATCATTGTATGGTTTGAATGTAAAATAGATTTTTTTTTTTTTTGTGAGTTGCAGCTTATGACGACTCCGAGGTATTTTTGAGACATGAAGTCAGTCATAGTGTTTAGTTGGTGTCATCAGCAAGATTTGATATAATTGCAAACGCTATGTCGTGCAATCGTTTTGAAAAAGTACAAAAATAGTTTTTACCTAAATGATAATCAAAATTTATGTCCACGTTATCATGTAAATTATGATAAATTATTCAAATGTAGACCTTTTATCGATGTAGGTACTTCGTAAAAATTGTTTGTTGACAGAAACTGAAGAATTTAATTAAATTAATGTATTTATTATTCCATTCAAGATTCAAAGGGCGTAATCATTTAAATAAATATGCATGATAAAATATAATTTCATTACATACGCGTTTCACGCAAACCTAAATATGTTTTTAATTTCTTTTTCACTGTTCATAAGTATAGTTTATGTATTTTTTTAAACAATTAATACATAAAATTCAAGAGATACAAAATATTCAGTATGGTTTTGCACTCGCCGTTGCGATGGTCGACGTTGGTGGTAATATTTTTGGCACTGGGATCTATTGAATCCGATAATCAAATAGGTACGACGGAACGATGATAGTCTTTTGCTTCTACAACGACCACAACAATTCTCGGCATATAACGGCTCCAGTGAAATTTTTTATGATGACCGAAATGACGCACTACGGCAACACAATGATGTTTTCTCCGACTCATGGGTCTCCGATTTGTTTTACTGTGCGTTAGCTAATTTTACTATACAACATGTGGGCAATGCCGCTTGCCAGTGACAAGTGGATATGTACGTTCAACATTTACGAAATTACACGAATTGGGCAGTTAGGAGTAAGTTAACACTAAATCAGACAATTCACAGTATTAAACTATTAAGGCAGTATTGTAATACCTACTGATGACTGAGGAATAGCCATCATCAGGAGCTATTACAGCATTAAAAATGTTTATATACTTTTATGCTTTCAAAATATGATTAAATCTAAGTATATAACACAAAAACGATCGAGTATGACAAATGTTTAAAAAAAATTAATTTCCAAATATTATTTTAATATTTTTTTTGAAAATTAAAATACCTAAGATTGTTTGTATATTAAGTTTAGTATATTATGATAAATACTTGTAATAAAATAATTTATTTTACTGTGATATTAATACAGTGGATTGAATTAATTTTTGCCTAAAATATTTCAATTGGAAAATCTTTTTTTGTTTTAAAATACAAAATAATACATTTATGTTACCTGGTTTACTATTGCTGCTGATGACGGATTGACGTTAGCTGTAGGAGGGCGCTATCGGCTACCGCTAATCCGTAGTCACCACAAATTTTTTTATATTATATTATTATCGAAAATGGTTAATTGGTGATAAAGGATCATAATATTTGACACATTTATGGTTTCAGTGTAATTTTATTAATATTTACGTAGTTGGTTAGGTGCAACCTCTGAAATACATAGGAGTGTTTAAAATAACAATAAATAATATTTTTTAATTACAATAAAATAACGAAAATCGTTATTTTCTATTCAAATATCTATTATCATCTAAATTTTAAAACAAAATTTCAATGTAAAATATTGTGTTTTTTTTCAATTTTATTTTATTTTCATAAATTAAAGTCATGAACTACTTATGAAAAACATTGAATAGTATTTTCAAACCTTGGCTATAATAATCAAACATTTTGTACTTTTTAACTACTATATTATGACAGATTTTTAAAAATTTTCACAGTTGATTAATTTAGTCGAAATTTAAAACTTTAAATAAATCTTAAAATGTATGTATTTTTAACATTTTTAAATAGATATAGGTAATAAGTAATAACAAAGTTTAAGGAACTTTATATAAAATATTCAATCTTTATGACTGATTAAATTTTTTTTTATTAAAATGCAGGTTTTATTCTCAATAATTAGACATAGGCAAACTATAAGACTAAATTTAATATAGAGCTAAGGTTAGGAATCATTATACCTACTCTTTCATCGAAAAAAATAACAAAGAAAATATGAGTATTTTAATAGTTGGTATAAAAACCTATGTAGTTTAATATTATAATATAATTATTTAATATTGTTATATAATACAATGCTGTAAAATAGAATATTATGAAGTATTGAAACTTTTATTATCATACAAAAAATTACAAATATAAATGTATGAATATATATTTTCACTTTATTTAAAACAATAATATTCTATGATATTAATTTAGATAAAAATTATAAAATTGGCATAATTATCATATAAAAAAATACACTGTAAAATTAATCTTGGGATATTATTATTTTAATTTGTATATTATTTTTGAATAATTCATGTTAATTAATATAAAAATAATGTATGACTTTTAGATAAGAATTTTTTTTACGTACTTTCCTAATATTTTTATGAATATCTATGAATCCTCATTACCTATTAATAGAAAAAATAATGAATACTGGAACACAAATAGTTCGTACATATCAAAAAGCGACATTCGACACACGAATTTGTATGTTACCGTATACGCGTACAACAAATGTGCACATAGTGTATATTTATATTTATATAGTACCTATACATTGGTACTAATAAAAATATAGACATCTTCTAACAGTGGAGTAGCTAAGTTTTTGAATTGTGAAGGGTAAACACTAGACGACATATTTTTATTTACGATTCAAAATCATGAAAATATAATACAAATTTCTTTATACATTTTTATATAGCAATTATTGAATTCACACGTTCATATTTTTTTCTAGATGTTATTTTAAGTTATAAATATGTGATTACCAATTATGTTGATTTTTTTTTTTAAACCTATTTTTAACAGTTATGTTAAGAAAAATTATTTATTGATCGGTAATTGGTATAATAATTAATAACTAAGTATGTTCAATTAATAATAATGAAAAGAAATAACAAATACTTTATTTACGTCATAGATGCATTAACGCAATACGTCCACTGTTCTGATATAATATCATTGCGTATTTTCATATTGTCATTTATCAATAACAAAAAGAAGTAATTTTAGTATATGAACTGCTTATATAATAATATAAATAAAAATTATTTTTCAGTGACATAGTCTTAGAATCGATATCCAACTGGTATACTATCAGGCAATAAGTATCATATGGGGATTTATGACGAATGTGTAGACGTGCATTATCCAGTTAAGGGACAGTACTGTTTGACCGAAATACATTTAATTCCGTCATTGGGGAAAAATTACAGTTTCAACAACGGAATAGAAAACTTTAACGACGCTAATAACAACCACGCATGGAAAACAGTATTTCAACTTTCAAGTACATTTTAATGATTGATTGTCATTTTAGCATTACCTTTATTTATTGATAAGATAAGTATTAGAAAGAACTATAGTAGTTAAAATACTAAAAAACAAAAAATACGGATATATGTTTCAAATATAAACTAAAAAAAAAAAAAAACGATGAATAAAATGAAAAATTGGAAACATTATTTTATTCTGACGAAAGAATGTTTAGATAGGATGACTTGGTATTTTTTCAGTGGGTCGATACTTCAGATCAAATTAAACGAAATAGTTTGAATTCAAGCGTCAGATCTACAGATGTCGTTGCAAAACAAATTGAACAGTGTTTTCGCCGGAAAAATTCAAAGCTATCGTTCAAGTGGATTCAATAATGTGTACTGTCAGTGGAGATATGTATCCTTATCACATGGCGTATTATGTAACCATGTAATTTGATAATATATTTAGTAAAAAAAAATATTTTTGTTTTAGCGGTAGAAGACGTAATATTTTGATTTCCGTAAAACAATAATTATGATGATTTCTTCGGTGAATTTACTAACAATTAATTATGTTTTCGGAATCCATAGTTCACAAATAACCGAAATAAAGACAACCATCATATATAGTTTAAAAATGCTTGCATTATATAATTAAATATAATATTATAATTAATTTTAGTATGATAAAATTATATCATAATTCCTATATAATGCAATAATTTATAAACCTGCTTAATAAAAGCATTTTCGAAATTCAGGAGACCAAGTTAAAAATTTTATTCATAAAGGTTTTCGATTTATTAAGTGTTCGAATAATCAAGGGGAAAAAATTAATTTAAATTAAAGAGAGGTGAAAAATTATTGTGTGTATGTACATATTATATTTATTATACATACATACATACTATTATATTTTATATATTAAAGAAATTTGTTATTTGGTTCATAGCATTGTCTAATTTACTGATAGCATGATGATAGTAAGCTGGTACGTATCGTGTGACGTTCAGTTTTTCATAGTTGGAATTGCTACAATTTATGTTTACACAAAGAACAATAAATACGGAATTGGATTGCTTGCTACCATAGTTATTGTATCAATATTTACGTTGGTTAAGTGATCATCGATCAATTTATGCAGTCAAAGAGTGTTATAGATCAATTATTTTGGCATGTGAGCATATACACACTAATGGAGCAGATCTTGCATCACTAGCAGGAGGTATTCTGCTAGAAATCACCCAGTCTTAGGCTTTAGGTGTAGTCAATAACTTAAGCAAAGTCTTACAAAAAGAAAATTTACAGCTATCATCAATACCAGTTTTAATTTCCTCTTTGATTGGTCATCTTAAAAATAACTCGGATCAATGTTCATCAAATGACGAGAATAATTCAATTCATACATGTATAAATACATTAAAA